CCTTGCCAACGGCATCACGTCCCCATCTGCAGTGCCAGGCTGATGCTGTGGCCATTCCCTTCTTTGTTTTCGCTATTCCCTCCTTTCAGCCCCCGGAAAACATTTGGGATAATCATTTCCCATCAATAAACGTTACCACTAGATGTCAGTGGCTCCCTATGGAGGAAATCCTACATCCATCCCTGCGAGTCGGCTGTCCTGGAGCAGACCCTGCAACAGCAACAGGAGAGTGAAGGGTGCTGCAGCCAGCACCAAACCCACCTGATGGCAAGAAGAAAGGGCATAATTCCATCAGTTTTCCTTTTGAAGGCAGCAAGCGGGAAGAAATCTCTGCCAGGAAAGCATCTGGGCTTCAAATCACAGCCCTGGCCTTGCGTGCTTCCGATTTACCTTCAGTAGAAGCCTCTTAGCTGCAAGGATGGCAAGTGAGGCTCGAGGAAAGGATTTCTGGCCTTATATTCGCATGGGATTTGGGGCTTGATTTGGAGCAGGTGAGAAGTGGGAAGTGAATTACATAGCAAAATCCCATGATCGATCGGGAATCACTGCACTGCACTGCTGCAGCCACAAGAGGACATCCCTGCCTTACAAGTGATGGTTGATATGCCTTTGGTACCCCCAAACCCCTTGAATAAATGGGTTTTCCTTCCTCTTAATGCACTGTACGAGCTTCCCCAAGCGCAGCATCCCATCCCTGGGGATGTGCATCAACAGCACAGGATTGGCAGCCGAGAGCGATGCTGTGGGGAAACCGTAAATCCCACTGGATGCTTTAAACGTGGGGAAATCAGACTTTCAGGCTTAGGGAAGAGCAGGGATAGCTCTTTCCTAAGGCAGGGTCTCCATTTAGCAGCTGAATGTGCCACTTCCAAAACCTCTTGGTGCTCTGGACAAGCTTATGGAGCTGTGCACCATAAGCCGGGTGCATCGGGAGTAAAGGGCTGTGATTTGGTTTGCCTTGATTTTAAAGGATTCTCCCTCTGATTTCCAAACCCTCTTAAGGCACCTCCATAGGGATCCTCCGTTCTTAATCTCATTTTGACGTGTAACGCCAGCAGTCGCATTCAGTCGCCTTTCATGCCTCGATTTGCAGAGCAATGAGGTCTCACCAGAGGGCAACCTTGCCTCAGGGTGGGTTTGGAGCTCCGCTGGGAGGAAAGCAGGTTTATGGCCTTCCCCAAATCCAGGTTTAAATCCTATTTCCAAATCCCTCCCCCAGGCTTTGTGCTCCTTGGGGAGCTGCTTCTCTGCATCCTTTGGACAACCTTTCAGGCTTACCCAGATCTGCAGCATCTCCCTTGGTGTCTCCCTGCATCTTCTCCTTTATGCATCTCCGAAATGAGCATCCCATAAAGCGAATCCATCAAGGACGGACCCTGTCTCAGGCAGGTGAAGAGAGAGGGGAATCTGGCATGATTTCTGTGTCATAGAACCATAAAATCACAGGCTGGTTTGGGTTGGAAGGGACCTTAAAGCTCATCTGCTTTCCGCACACCTTGCTATTCCCATATCGAAGCCTTGATGCCAGAGGTGACGTTATGTGTCGGGACCATGAGAGAAGGCAGCAGCGATGCTCCTGCTGCAGGAGCAATGAGGTGAGGCACAGGGATCCTTGTGTGCATCACCTCTGCATGGGATGGGGGGGAAGAGGCTGATTTGGTTCCTGTTGTGTTGCAGGCGCCCTCGAAGACGTTTCAATCTCAGATCCTCTCTCACGGGGCAGGTAAAGCGCTGCTGCATGGGAAACCCAACGCAAAGCATCCAGTCCTTATCATCAGAGCCAGCCTGAATCCAATGAAACTCAGCATCTTCCTGGAGCAAGGACGGGGCAGGGTTTGGGTCACAAAGCCCTGGCGTGCTGGGGCTTCTTGCACATCTCGCCCTCACTGACCCTATCCAGACCCAGCCAGCTTTTATTCTCCAAGCCTTGCTTTCCTGGAAAGCCATCCCTAACAACTCGCTTTGACTCATCTTCAGTCCCTGGAGAGGATCCTCCTTCCTTGCCCATATGGTTCGGAGCTGGGAGAGCACAGCCTGAACCTTTGGGTGAGAGCCCAGGCCTCTGATCTGCCAACCTTCCAGACAAAGACAAGTGAAGGGCTCACGACGCCAGCTTTCCTCTGCCTGCAGCCTCCCCTCTCTGCCTCTGGCCTGGAGATGTGCTCGATTTCATGCCGTTTCTTCCATGATCCGGAATACCCAGGGGATAAGGGAGGGTTTGGGGGTGGGTTTTTGCTCCTCTTCTAGTTCTAAATGGCACGGCAACAGGGATGAAAGGGAAGGACTTGTCATCATTCCCCAGAGGTGAAGGTGGCAGAAGGAGTGTCCACACTGCAGACCACCTCACACTGGCATTTCAGGATCAGGGTGAGCTATAGGTTAGAGCTGGCTGAGATGGGGTTTACCTTAAAGTGGTTTCTAGGCAAAAATCGAAGTAGAAGCCAAATTTACCTTATATACCTTATAGTTACCTTATATACCTTATAGTTACCTTATATACCTTAGTCTGAAGCTGTTCGGTGAGGTCCAAAGGCATCTTCCTTCTCCATTCCTTGCTGACCATGTGCTTCCCTTTAGGTCACCTGTATCCATCCCATTCCCATCAGATCCAGGCAAACTACAGGGGGGCTGAAGAGCATCCAGCTTCATCCCCAAGCACCTGGAAAGATGGGGAGTGAGATCCAGGTGTTCTCTTGGGCCTGCTCCTTTGTGCCGATGGAAAGGGCTGGGGAGAGCCCTAAAGAAGGGACCTGCCTGCTCCCGCCTGGCCCTCACCCTCCTCCTGTGGCTGGTCCCTGTGATCTCCCCTTTGAAGGCACAACAGAGATGTCCCCTTTGCCCACCCTGGTTTGGGAGGGATGTGCCATGGAGATGCCACAACCTTGGGACAGCTCCAGGGCTTGGTCTGGGTCATCCCCACATCACGTCCTTGAGCTGGAGGATAAATGGGACACAGATGTGCCTCGCTCCTTGTCTGGTACAGGGGGAGCCCTAAGGGCAATATGTGCCCCATAGACCCAGCAGGTTTCCTGCAGCACACAGTCTGGCTTGCAATCAGAGCTCTGTCTTTGGGTAGGTGATTCCCACCTCATCCCAGCTGATCCAGGAGAAATTCCCTCCTGGCACCTCAAGATGCTCGAGGTTGTGTCCTCTCCCTGTGCTGCCTGCTTTCTCTCTGTGGGCACAGGGATCCAAACAAAACCCTGGATTCACTGAGCCCAGTGCACTCTGATGATGATCTTGGGTCACAGGTTGAGCTGCAGGGCACACAGCCAAGCAAACCACAGCATGGGGAAGCACTGGCACTGCTTATTGCTGCCCATAAACCTATTCCTCAGGCACAGACAGTTACTGAGGGCTCCTCATTGCTCTCCTTTTAGTGGTCCTGCTCCCCAAACCCCCTCATCTTCCTACCTCCCAATCGCCTCTTCCACCCCTGCATCCTTCCTGGTCCCAAGCGCTGCTCTGATGGACACCCCGTCTGGAAGCACAAAAGATGGGGCTGCAATGAACTGTCCCGAACCAGCATGGAGGAGGGGGATTCCAGCTTCCCTGCACACCCCTGTCCTGACCACAGCCTCCTCCTTGCTGGGGGGGGGGGGCACAGAGCTTCATCCCACCCCTTCGCCTGGAGCATGAGTGGGGAGCAGCAGGAGGGAGCCTGGCAGACGGGAGCATCCCTGCGGGCTGCAGGGTCCCCTTTGGCACTGCAAGAATACAACTGAAGAGGGTCCCCATCCCACCCCACATTCCTGTCCTATCCCACATCCCCATCCCATCCCACATCCCTATCCCACTCCACATCCCCATCCCAGTCCTCTGTCCCATTCCATTTCATTCCATCCCATTCCACACCCCCATCCCATCCCACCCCATATTCCTGTCCTATCCCACATCCCCATCCTACTCCTCTGTCCCATTCCATTTCATTCCATCCCATTCCACACCCCCACCCCAACCCATAATCCTGTCCTATCCCACATCCCCATTCCTTCCCACATCCCCATCCCACTCCTCCGTCCCATTCCATTTCATTCCATCCCATTCCACAACCCCATCCCATCCCATCCCACCCCATATTTCTGTCCTACCCCACATCCCCATCCCACTCCTCCGTCCCATTCCATTTCATTCCATCCCATTCCACAACCCCATCCCATCCCATCCCACCCCATATTTCTGTCCTACCCCACATCCCCATCCCACTCCTCTGTCCCATTCTATTTCATTGCCTCCCATTCCACACCCCCATCCCACCCCACATCCCCATCCCACTCCCCTGTCCCATTCCACTTCATCCCATCCCATTCCATCCCATCCCATTCCACACCCCCATCCCACATCCCCATCCCACTCCCCTGTCCCATTCCACTTCATCCCATCCCATTCCATCCCATCCCACCCCACACCCCCATCCCACCCCACATCCCCATCCCACTCCCCTGTCCCATTCCACTTCATCCCATCCCATTCCATCCCATCCCACCCCACACCCCCATCCCACCCCACATCCCCATCCCACTCCCCTGTCCCATTCCACTTCATCCCATCCCATTCCACACCCCCATCCCGTCCCACACCCCCACCTTCCCATGCCATGCCATGCCATCCTATCCCATTCCCCTTATCCCATTCCACCCTATCCCATTCCCCATCCGCTGTCATTCCCCCCATTCCATCCCATGCTATCTCATCCTACCTTCCCAGGCCATCCCACCCCCTCATCCCATCCCTGCCCATCCCACCCCATTCCACTTCAGCCCATCCCATCCCACCCCCCCCCCCCCCGCTCTATCCCATCCCACCCTCCGCGGTCCCGCCCCGGGCGGAGCTCGGCTCCGCCGGCCCCGCTGCTCCGGGCTCTCCCGCCCCGTCCGCCCGCATAAAACCGCTCCGCTCCCCGCACCGCAGGTACCGGCGGGGCAGGCGGCTCGCACGGCCCCATCCAACACAAGGAAGGAAGGGGGGGGGGGGGGGCCCGATCCGCTTCATCCCCCCCGATGTGATCCCACCGGGACGATGCTGCCGCTGCTGCCGCTGCTGCTGTTGGGCTCCCGAGGGCTGAGCCTGCCCCTGGACGACACCGAGGTGGTGACCCCGCTCCGCCTGGACCCGGACATCAACGGCAGATCCTACTTCAGGCGGGGGCCGGCAGAGCCGCCCCGGGGGGGGCAGGCGGTGGTTTTCCAGCTCTCGGCTTTCGGCGAGGATTTCTACCTCCACCTCACCCCCGACGCCCACTTCATCGCGCCCGCCTTCGCCTCGCATTACCTGGGGGCCGCAGCCCGGCCCGGCCCTGCCCTCCGGCACTGCTTCTATTCAGGGGATGTCAACGCGGACCGGGAGTCCTTCGCCGCCCTCAGCCTCTGCGGGGGGCTCCGGGGGGCTTTCGGCTACCGAGGAGCCGAGTACATCATCAGCCCGCTGGCTGCGGGCGCGGCAGGAGGGGAGCATCGCCTGCAGCGCCGCAGCCCCGGCCGCCCCGTCGGGGCCGGAGCATCCCGCTGCGCCGTGGGCTCCGGGCTCACCCCCGGCGTGCTGCAGGCGCTGGATAAGTACCGGGGACGGGGGAAAGGGGGGAAAGGGGGTCGGGCCAAGCGCTTTGCCTCGGTGCCCCGGTACGTGGAGACGTTGGTGGTGGCTGATGAGTCGATGGTGAAGTTCCATGGGGATGATCTCCAGCACTACCTGCTCACGCTGATGGCCACGGCCGCCCGCCTCTACAAGCACCCCAGCATCCGGAACCCCATCCAGATCTCCGTGGTCAAGTTCCTCCTCATCGGGCAGGATGACAAAGGGCCCAAAGTGACCGGGAATGCCGCCCTCACCCTCCGCAACTTCTGTGCCTGGCAGAAGAAGTGGAACAAGGGCAGCGACAAGCACCCCGAGTACTGGGACACCGCCATCCTCTTCACCAAGCAGGTGGGTGCAAGGGGGAGGTGACCCTGAGATGCTGCCCCCCCCGTTTCAAGGAGACCCACACCGTGCCCCTGCCATCTCACCCCACCTCTAGCGCAGGCTTGTGGCTGATCCCTCTTTCCCAATGGATCCTTACGCTGCTGGGGCGGTGTGGACCAAGCTCCCTAGAGCCAGCCCTTGCTGGCAGGGGGCTGAGTGAGGCCAAGGGGTGTCCCCGTGGGCAGAACCTTGCTGCTCCATCCCCAGGCTCCTGGCAGGAGCCGCAGCGGCTCTGGCACAGGGAGCAGCCACCCCAAAACAGGGGGTGTGAGCCCAGAAGAGGAGGAGCATGGCCCTGATTCCCTGTCCTTGGCTGGGAATTGCTCGCGGTGAAGCATCCCACCTCTCTCCCTGCTCCCTCTGACTCATGCGAGGTCCTCCTGAGAACCTGGAGCTCTCCTGCGTGCTGGCTGCTCCGCATGGACCTCGCTCAGGGCTGGAAGGAGAGCACCAGAGATGGAGCCAGCGCTTGCAGAGCTCGCAGGGGGGAGAGGTGAGGGTGTCCCCCACCTCTGCCATGTGAAAAAGGCCTTTTCCTCACCTCTGGAATGGGCTCTGCAGCTCCGTGGGGCAGCTGCATTATCCCTCTTGGATTAAACCGGGTGACATGGAAGCGGTGCCAATCCCTGCCCAGATGTTTTAGGATGAGGGACAGGTCAGGAGCTCCCCTCAACAGCAGGGACACCATTCCCAAAGCACCTTTCCAGGTCAAGCACTCGTGGCTGGGAAGGATGCAGCATCCAGTTTAGTTCAGCTGCCTCTACCCTGGCATCAGCGCATTCCTGGAGCAGGAATGATGAGAGACCTCGTCCTGTCCATCCTCCTTGTCCCTGGGCAGGGACCACATCCTCCATCCAGCTGTAAATCCCACTGGAGCACAGGCAGGGTCAAACCCCAAACAGCTCCATCCCTGATGGAAACCCACCGAGGTCACCGGAGCCACACATGGGTCAGATTCGATCCCAGCGATTCCAAGGCTGCGGATCACGGCCGGGCTGCATTCCTTATACATTGCTAACCCAGCCATTCCTGAAACCCCAAGGCAAGCTCGGTGCAGAGGAGACATCTGCCTTCCTTGAGTGCATCCATCTGTGGTCCCCTGACACCCCAATGCATCGCTCCCTGCCAAAAAGCTGTTACAAAAGCCCCCGACTTAGGTTTCACCTCCAGCCCTGTTGATAGGCAGCTTCCAGTTGTTCCAATGGGGCTGTCCTCTCCCGCTTGGCTCTGCTCCATCCCGACGTCGCCCGCGCTGGATTGTGGATTTGGGGATCTCGGTCCTGATGGGTGCACATCTACCAGCAGCCATGGCCCTGGGACCTTCCTACCTGAGCTGGTGCTTGCTGGAGCCTTCAACTGCATTCCTGCCCCTTGGAAGCAGCATCACACACCGCAGCGAAGGGCTTCTCATCCTCCATGTCCCACCAGCCAAACATCTTCGACCAAATGCACTAAGGAACAGCTGGAATCTGAACCGGGAATCCTGTGTTTAAGGCTCAGTCTGTTGGGGTTGCTTTGGATGCACACGGGAAGCCCCCATGGAAGGAGAGCGGTCCCCCTGTGGAGGTGAATCAGTGCCCAAGGATCCCTTCTATCTGACCTGCAGAACATCTCGGGATGCTCCCAAGGGGATGAAGAAAAGCCTTGGAAGTGCCCACAGGGGAAGGTCAGGATGGAAGGAGAGTCCCAGGGAGCTGCTTGGGCTTGGGGCACTGAGCATCCCCCCTTGTCTTTGGGCTGGCAGTGGTGGGTATCAGTGGCAGTGTACTCAAGGCAGAGCTGCTCCTTTGCCTGCTGCTGTCCCCCTTTAAACCTCTGGAGCTCCTCTCTGCTCCCCTCCGTTGCTCCATCCTTGCGTTGCTTCCCATCCCGCAGCCCTGCAAGCACCCCTGGGGTCGATCAGGACCTCTTATTAGAGCCCAAAGATGCTGCCCCAGGAGGCTGCAGCTTGGGGTTGGGGAACACCCCATTCAGAGCTGCTCTCCATGTACCCCACAGCAGCAGCAGCAGTGGGTCCGTGTGTCAGTGCAGGTGATGGGTCAGGAGCCCAAACCTCGCTGCTCCAGCAGCAGTGCAAAGAGCAGGGGGTGTGAGTGCATCACCTCTTCCCTGTGATGCTGTGTCACCCATTTGGACCCAGCATCACCCCCAGAACCCCAGCTTGGGCAAGCTGCATCCCTGGCATGATGCTCAGCGTGGCAACACCCCGGTTCCTCAGGACAAGGAAGCCTGCATCAGGCTCGCCAGCCCCATTTAAGCCACCTGGGATTCGGGATGCCACCAACTTGTCCCTGTGCGTTGATGGGTGGTGGGATCGTGGATGCAATGAGGTTGTGCAATGAGGTTTTCCAGCCAGAGCCGCAGCCTCCCGGCTCCGTGGCCACTTCAGCTCCTGTTAAAGCCATCTGGGGCTCTCTGGAGCCATCGGGACTGTTCTTTACCCACGGCTGAACCTGCCTGAGCTTGGAATCCTCACTGGAAACGCTGGCAGAGCTGCTCGTGTGAGGCTTCAAGCGGCGCCTTGGCCGGGGAGCACTGAGCATGAATCACACTTATTTATAGCCCAGAGAGTCCCTTAAGTTTCCCTTTCATGTGGAAAGCAGCTCCCTGCCTCCTGCGTGGCCTCCAGGGCAGCTCCCGGCCCCATTGGGACCGCATTGAGGGATGCGGGTGATGCTCCATCCCCATCAGCACCAAGGCTGCAGCCTCAAATGGACCTTTAATTGGCACAAGCACCTTTGGCTCATGAAGAAGGGCAGATCCATTGATGATGAGCCCCTTCCCATCCTCTGTCCCAGCAGCATTGACATGGGATCTGGTCATCCTTGATGGCTTCTTCTTCCGTCAGCGGTGCTTGGGATGGATGCAAAGTGTCTTGGAGAGGCAGGAACACTTCCCACAGCCTTGGGAACCTCTGGACCCAGTCCAGGAGTTCCTTGTTCCTAGGAGGAAGTAGAGAAATGAGGTTGAGAAAAGGGTCAAGGCACCAAGGCCAAGTGCCTTCCCATCCGCCCATCTGGGTCTGCTCCTTGAGCTGGCATTGAAGGATGGAGCCATCTGGGTCTGCTCCTTGAGCTGGCATTGAAGGATGGAGCCAGAATGACTCCATCCCAATGACTCCGATGCCAAAACCACCTCCACCTTGGGCAGAGGAGCTGGGTGGGGGGGAAAAGCTGTCACTGAGGGTGCCTGGGAGGATGCTGTGCCCAGTAAGGGTGAATGCAAACACCCCTGGTAGGGGTCAGGGTTGAGGCTTCCAGCCCAGCGGTCCCCATCCCTTTGGGCTGCAGTCTGGGATCAGCTCCCCATGGGATGCTTGGGCTGGGATGGGGAGCAGGGATGCTGGTGCTGTTCCGTGGGGATAACCCCTTGTCTCCATCCCCTGCAGGACCTGTGCGGGGCCACCACGTGCGACACGCTGGGGATGGCGGATGTGGGTACCATGTGTGATCCCAAGCGGAGCTGCTCCGTCATCGAGGACGATGGGCTGCCCTCGGCTTTCACCACTGCCCACGAGCTGGGTAAGGCTCCCGCTCTCCGATTCCTGCCGGGAGGAATGCCAGGAGCTCCGAAATAACCCTGCTCCGGAAGATGAGACAATACCCGGTGTCTGGAGACGGGGAAACTCCACCTTGGGGCATGAGACCCGGCTGGGAGAGAGCTGCTGGGGAAGCAAAAGGCTTTGCTGTTGTGGTTGCTACCTGGGCTGTGCTTGCAGCATCCTTTGGGATATGCCCATAGGCCTGGAACAACAGGAACCTACCTCTGGAGACACTTGTGGTGCTTGGCGGGAGGAGGAAGAGGAGGAAGGAGGGGGTTGAGCGCTGAAGTTTCCTTCTCTTTGCCATTTCCCTTCCTTTCCACATGCACAGAGCAGCCGGGACAGTGGGAATGGTGCTCGCCCTGTAAGCTCCTGCTGCTTGTGCGGAGCCTCATCCTTCCTCATGGGTCTCCATCCTTACAATCCCTGCAAGGCTCTGCCCCACTCCGTGCCTCCGTTCTCCCCATTGCAAGAAGCTTGTCCCTCTGTTCCAAGCCGTGTTAGCCACGCTGTCCCTCTTTATCCCTTTCCCAGGCCATGTCTTCAACATGCCCCACGACAACGTGAAGGCCTGTGAGGAGGTCTTTGGCCGGCTGAAGACCAACCACATGATGTCCCCTACCCTCATCCAGATCGACCGTGCCAACCCCTGGTCAGCCTGCAGCGCTGCCATCATCACCGACTTCCTCGACAGTGGCCATGGTGAGCCCTCGTACCTGTATCCTGTCCCTGGGGAGCAGGATCCATGCTTGGGGATGGTTGACGGGCTGTGGAGCAGCTCTTCTCCCCACCCTGCAGAGATAGAAGGAATGGGATCACCACCTCTGGAAGATGACATGCATGCATTCAAGGCCCTCAGTGCCATGGGTTAGTGCTGGAGAACGGTTGGACTTGATGATCTTAATGCTCTTTTCCAACCTGATTGATTCCACGATTCCACCTGAGGGTAGCATGGGGTTGGGATAGCTTTGCCCATCCATCCCCACAATGGTCCATACAACCCCCCAGGAACCCCCCAGACCTCCCCATCCTCCCCGCTGCAGGAGACTGCTTGCTGGACCAGCCGGCCAAGCCCATCCCGCTGCCCGAAGACCTGCCCGGGTCGAGCTACAGCCTGAACCAGCAGTGCGAGCTGGCCTTCGGGGTGGGCTCCAAGCCCTGCCCTTACATGCAGTACTGCGCCAAGCTGTGGTGCACGGGCAAGGCACGGGGCCAGATCGTCTGCCAGACCCGGCACTTCCCCTGGGCCGACGGCACGAGCTGTGGTGAGGGGCGCTTCTGCCTCAAGGGCTCCTGCGTTGAGAGGCACAACATCAGTAAGTACAGGGTGAGTACCTGCACCCCGCGCCGTGGGGTCACCCCGGGCTGAGGGATGGATCCTCCCGGTGCTGGGGACACAAGGATGCGCGAAGAGATGGAGGTCGCTTGGGTGCTGCGTGTTGCGCAAGGAGGGATGATGCTCTGCCTCGTCCAGCCCCACATGGGGTTGGGAGCAATTGGAAGAGGTTTTGCTCACAAAAGGAGGCTTAGAGAGCCTGCTCTGTTGAGCCCCAAATGGGCCTGGGGGCATCTGAAAGGTGTTTTGCTTGCCAAGGGATGCTGAGAGGTGCTGCTCCATCCAGCCCCAAATGGGTTTAGGAGCAACTGGAAAGGGTTTTGATTTATAAGGGATGCTGAAAGCCCCTGCTCCATCCAGCCCCAGATGGTTTAGGAGCAACTGGAAAGGGTTTTGATTTATAAGGGATGCTGAAAGCCCCTGCTCCATCCAGCCCCAGATGGGTCTGGGGGCATCTGGAAGAGGTTTTGCTTGCCAAGGGATGCCGAGAGGTGCTGCTCCATCCAGCCCCAAATGGGTTTAGGAGCAACTGGAAAGGGTTTTGATTTATAAGGGATGCTGAAAGCCCCTGCTCCATCCAGTCCCAAATGGGTTTGGGGGTATCTGGCAGTGGTTTTGCTTGCCAAGGGATGCTGAGAACCCCTGCTCGGGATGGAGCTGCTGGTAACGGGGATGCAGCATCTCATCCCAAGGGGATGCAGCATCTCATCCCACCGCATCCCCGCAGGTGGATGGTGGCTGGGCCAAGTGGGCGCCCTATGGGCAGTGCTCGAGGACGTGCGGTGGAGGGGTGCAGCTGGCCAAGCGGGAGTGCACCCACCCCGTGCCTGCCAATGGGGGCTCCTACTGCGAGGGCATCCGCGTCAAGTACCGCTCCTGCAACCTGGAGCCCTGCTCTGCTGCAGGTAAGGGCTCGCGTGCTCCTGGCTCTCTGCATGGCCTGTGACAGCCCCTAAACATGGAGCCCGAGCTCCATAGAATGGTTTGGGTTGGAAGGGACCTTAAAGCTCATCCAGTTCCATGGGAAGGGACGCCTTCCACTGGAGCAGGTTGCTCCAAGCCCCTGTGTCCAACCTGGCCTTGAACACTGCCAGGGATGGGGCAGCCACATCCCCAGTCCCATGCACATCCAACTTCTTTTTCCAGTGCCGGGAAAGAGCTTCCGTGAGGAGCAGTGTGAAGCCTTCAACGGATACAGCCACAGCACCAACCGCCTCACCGCATCCGTCTCCTGGGTCCCCAAATACTCCGGTGTCTCCCCCCGGGATAAATGCAAGCTCATCTGCCGAGCCAATGGCACCGGTTACTTCTACGTGCTGGCACCCAAGGTGGGTGAGGGACCCCCGTGGTCACCATCAGGGCTGTGGGATGGCTCCGGCGTGCCTGGAAATGAAGGATTTCTCCTTGCTTTGTGGGCAGTTGTGGTAGATGAAGGAGTGGATCAGCCTGGATGTGCCTGCTTCCTTCTTCCAGGGCTGGAGCCGGTCCATGGAGGGTCTTCTATGGGGCTTGTAAAGGTGCATCTGGGATATGCACACAGATAAAGGATGGCCATTGCAGGTGTGGGCAGGGTGTGTTCCCTTTGCAGCAGTGCAATGGAAAGAGCAGAGTGAAGGGATGCAGTGCCACCAGAGGCCCTAATGATCCCAGGTGCCAAGCAGAGCGTGAGCAAAGGGTGATGTGGTGCCTGCCGGCACCTCCTCAGGACTCCTTGGATGGATCTGGGTGGCAAAGGGAAACACAGCAGTTGTTTTGCTTGTGCAGGTTGTGGACGGGACCCCTTGCTCCCCAGACTCCACCTCGGTCTGCGTGCAGGGCAAATGCATCAAAGCGGGTTGTGATGGGAAGCTGGGCTCCAAGAAGAAGTTTGACAAGTGCAGTGTCTGCGGAGGAGACAACAAGAGCTGCAAGAAGGTCTCAGGCTTGTTCACCAAACCCATGTAAGTGTTCGGTGGCCACGTGTGCTTCCTGGGGGCAGGAAGGCCATGGAGATGGTTGAGGGTTGGGAATAGATGATCTTGAAGGTCCCTTCAAACCCAAACCATTCTATGGTGATGGGTCTAAGTTCATCCCGAGCAAAACCTCCTGGTGCCAATGCCCATCACTGCATGGAGAGCTGGGCTAGCTCTGCAGGGGAAGCAGGACACATTTAACCTGCTGTTGGTTTGTGATGGTACATCCCACGCTGATGGTACCGTGTTACATCCCACGCTGATGGTACCGTGGTACGTCCACGCTGATGGTACTGTGGTACCTCCATCCTGTTGACCCACAGGAACTGAAGCACCTTCCTATACGCTCAGCTTAGATAAAACTCAGCGTAAGGAGCAGATTCCAAATGAGCTCCATAGGAGATACCCCTGGGACGGGAAGATCTTGAGACCCCATCCCAATGGGATGTGCTCCTGCTTAATGCCTTGCCCTTCCCTTCCAGGCATGGCTACAACTTCGTGGTGGTCATCCCCGCGGGAGCCTCCAACATCGACATCAGGCAGCGGGGCTACAAGGGGCTCATCAGCGACGACAATTACCTGGCGCTGAAGAACGGGCAGGGCAAGTACCTGCTCAACGGGCACTTCATCGTGTCCGCAGTGGAGAGGGACCTCATGGTGAAGGGCAGTGTCCTGCGGTACAGCGGCACCGGCACCGCCGTCGAGAGCCTCCAGGCCTTCAAACCCATCCAGGAGCCCCTGACCCTGGAGGTGCTGTCCGTGGGGAAGATGACCCCTCCGCGGGTGCGCTACTCCTTCTACCTCCCCAAGGAGAGCAAGGAGGACAAAGGCTCCTATAGGAAGGAGGGCAGGACCCCGCCGGACCTCAACAACAGCGTCCTCAGCCTGTCCAACCGCTTGGACGGGGGGAGGCCAAGCTACAAACGTCCCTCCTACAAGTGGGCAGCGGGCGGATGGGAAGCGTGCTCCGTGACCTGCGGCGATGGGATGCAGAAGCGCTCCGTGGCTTGCCAGGACTCCTACGGGCAACCCGCGGCCGAGTGCGATGCTGCGCAGCGCCCGGCTGAGGTCCGGCTCTGCGGGGAGCCCTGCCCCATCTGGGATGCTGGACCGTGGTCCCCCTGCTCCAAAAGCTGCGGTCGTGGGTTCAAGAGGCGGGCGCTGAAGTGCTCGGTCCCAACCGGGCGCCTGCTCCCGCGGGAGAGCTGCAATTCCCGCAGGAAGCCGCAGGAGCTGGATTTCTGCACCTTGAGGCCGTGCTGAGCTGGATGCAGGGGTGCTGCGTGAGGAAGGGCATGGTGCTCCTCCGGCTGGGGATGGGGGAGATGTCCATAGCACATAGAAAACGGGGGGGTGGGGGGGGTGGGGAATGGAATAAACCCAAAGGGACCGAGCACACTCACCCCATAGGCCTGGTGGGATGTCACCCACCAGGTCGCTCGGAGACAGAGGGGGACCAAACATCTACCTCGAAGCTGCTGAATGACGCGGAAACCCATCGGCAGAGGCTGGGAGCGATGGGAACGAGGAGGAGCACTGCCCGGGATGGATCCGAGTACAGGGAGATGCCCCTATATTGCACAGCCAAAGCCACCCCTGTCTTCCCAAAGGCCCAGCCTACCTCCGCCCCTCCTTGGGCTCCCCCCCAACACTCGTGCTCAATGGGACCAAAACGGATTTAGCAATGCAATGATGGCAAATGACATTGTCCAACCACCGAGGTGCTGGGACTGATGCTTCCACTGGTGAGGACTCACAGCCTACGGTGGTCCTTTGAGCCCCAGCAGCATCCCTGGGCCAGGCTGGAAGGTGGTGGCTTCATTGCGGTTTTCTCCTCCTGTTTATGACCTGACCAGTGTAGATTTTATGGTGCTTAACTCTGTATTGTTTTAACCTCCTTCCTTCCCCCTCCATCCCAATGGATGTAAACCTGGTGGAGCGGGGACGGCGGTATTCCCAGGGGGCTCTCACACCTGGATGAGGGTTTCCTATGGTGCTTTGGGATGGGGTTGTGTGAGCATCCTTTGCGTCACTGGATGCTCCTTCACACCCTGATCCAGGGCAGGTTCTAAACCACCCGCCTGAAGCTTTTCAGGGCTAACAGGGATCACTCTGGAGCTGAGATTGGAGCTGGCATCCCAAACCAAGCAACTGTACTGTAGTGTATGGGGCCAGACACAGCCCCACAGGTCACTGGTACTTGACTCTGTGGAAATGGTGCTCACTGCTTAACGGGACCAGTTTGCTGTGCACAGAGAGCCCACTGCCCTCCAGTGGGAAAGGGGCTCGGTGGGGCATGGACATGCAGAGGAAGAGGTGGCTTGGAGCCTCTCACTACAACCAGTTTCCCCCTCCAGGGTTTGGTGCAGGGTTTGTTCTGTACCTCAGATCATGCCCATTGCGGCTGGAGGGGACCATTTACACATCACTTGGGTCTTTCACTCGGATCATATCAGGGACCACTTCACTTGTTGCTTTCTCACTGGTGAAGGTGCCTCTGAACCCATATGCTGTGACTGGGAGCAAGCCAGAGCCTCTGTATTGAGTGATGCAGTTACTGGGAGCAGCAGGAAGGAGCTCTAGGGAGAGATGATGAGGAGGCAGAAGATGCTGTCTCAGCAGCCAGAGGCTTGCTCAGTCCCATGCATGGAAACTCCTTGTACCCTTTCTGCCCCAATACTATGGGCAAAGGGAGGAAGATCACAAGGAGCAGGACAGAGGGAGTACAAGGATTGCCTTGCTAGACCTTTCCATCAGCTTACAAACTCCACATGACAACGTTTGGGGACCCATCCTCATGGATTGACATGGTGCCTTTTGAACACAGGAATGTCCTGGGTCTCCACACTGCTTGATAGAGTCATGGAATGGGTTGGGTTGGAAAGGACCTTAAGATCATCCAGTTCCAACCCCCTGCCCTGGGGCAGGGACGCCTCACACCAGACCACATCAGGAGCAGATGCTGTGGCTGCTCTGGGAATGGGATTCAATGCCCTAACAAATCCCTTCCAGGTCTCCATTCCCATCATCAGATCCCTTCCGGAGGGTTTTCCTGCAGAGCCAAGCTTCCATTCGGGGACAGAGCTCTGAGGAGCTGCCCTGTTGTCTCTTGCCACCCCCAAGAGATGGTTTCCAAGCCACTGAGAACCCATCAGCCTTGTCTATGGGGCGGGGAAGGACTCTTTGCGTGCGGTTCTTTTGCCAAGTGTGCAGCAAAAGGATGGAGATGCCACTCGGACTGGCTGCTCTGTGTATACCATGTATACTGATAGCAAACCTGAAATAAACTGTATTTAAAGCCACACGGCTCCCCAGGGCACACAGTGGTGCCCGTGTCCTTCACTTGGGGGCTGTGGAGCATCTCTTATCGCCGTCCCATTGGAAGCCTCAAAGAGGGTTGTTCTGACTTGCTTCTGCTACAGGATGCATTGTGGTCAGCAACAAAGGAGCCCGATGGGGACTTAGTCCCTGCACGGAGATGTTAAATGCATCAGGGTGGTTGGTTTGAGCCCGGGATCAGGATGCTCTTTGCCAGGGTTAACAGCAATATAGAGCTAAATGGGTTAATGCACACTGGAACAGCACTCTCACATCCTGGAACAACCCGTGTGCATGCATACCATTGTCTGGGACACACGTGCTGTTCCAGAGTCATCCGCTCCGTGTGCTGACAAAGCCTTAGTCACAGCCCATTCCCACATCACCTTGGGATGGTCCAGGAAGAGCAGGGTTAGGTTCGGCCATGAGCTGACCTGGCACAGCTGCTGGTGCCCGGAACACATCCCTGCTCATTCCCAGCACAACCACCCTGGGTCAGGGCCCTCTTTTCCTCTTATACCCATGCCAACGGTGAAATAAACCCCTTCCTTTCCATGGGACACGCCACCAGTTCCTGCAGGGCAATAAAGGATTGCTATCCTGTGCCTTTTCCCACAGGAAAGCTCAGTTTCAGCCCAAATACATCCAAAGGCTCCAGCTGCAAATAAGGGCAGCGAGGGCGATTTCCACCCTGTGCTGCAGCTATTCCCTTGGATAAGGAGGAGAAACCAAGTTAAAACCAATGCCTCACTCCTCCAGCACAAGATGCCTTTAAAAGTCACCCAGAGAGATAAAACCCCACAAGAACCCCAAGTATTTACCTGGAAAGAAACGGAGCATTGATGCCAGAACCCCCTGAATCCTGCTCTGTTGGCTCAGGGTGCTTTGCTGTAAGGAAGCAAAAGGACTTAATGGGATTGAGCCAAATACCCCCAGCTGGCACCAGGGAAGGGACACAGGTGATGTCCTGCATCCACATCAAGCCCAAAGCTGCAGGAATAGCTTCCCAATGCCAGAGAAATGATGGGGAGCATCATATGCAGCATCCAAGGGGAAGGGATGGCTTTTCCATGCACCAGGAGGTGCTGCCAGTGATGGTTCCCAGTGCTGTGACACTGTGTTTCGCTTCCCTTGGCTGTTAATTTGTCTTCTCTGGTAGATAATATAAGGCTAATCCTTACATTTTTCCCTGCATGGGACACTGATGCAATGGGAGAGTGATCCTGCAGGGGAAGGAAACCTGCAGCTTCCAAACCTCAGCTTTGCTGTGGTTGAAACAAGGTTAAACCCCAGGGAACTGAAGGTGGGAATGAGACTCATCCCCTTAGGAGCTGTGTCCAGGAGTCCACATCAAGCTCCTCTCAATGCATCTCCTTTTGGCCACCTTGGGAGAAAGATGCTGGATGAGACCAACCTCTGCTTTGCTCCAAACACCTTTAATTCCATCTTAAGCAGTACAAATGGCATGAAAAGTGATTGTACCCCCTGTGGCGCAGTGGAATGAGGTGCTCCTGATGGGCTATGTTGATATCCAGCCTCCGAAGCTCTCGTGGTAACCCACAGAGCAAGTGCTGAACTCTTGCAGTGATTTAATACAGGAGTGTCCTGTGGTGCTCCAGCCAAACCACTTGTGCTTCGCTCCAAACCCATCCCTGGCTTGATGGCAGCGCATCCCAAATGCCTTTATGAGCCGAGAACTCCATCCTGCTCCTGGGGACCGATGGCAAAGCTGTTTATTTGCCTTTGTCCTAAGCTGAAACCCAAGAAGCTTGAGAAAATAGGGGTTATTTGAGCCATCATCTGTGTAACATCAGGGAGAGAAACCATCGAGGGTCATGGCTTTCTGGTCCAGGGTTTCCACGTGGCTGTGGATCTGCTCCCGAGGCTGGGATCTTGCCTTGCTGTTATCATTGCTCTTATTGTTGCTATTATTATTACTATTATTATTATTAGTGGGTTTTGCCAGGAGGCAAAAGCAAAACCAGACGTAGGTTGAACAAACAGACCTAATTGCTAACACATGTCCTGCAGAACGTGCATCCTCTGGGATGGAGGGGAATAAACTGGGAAGGGCAACCCAGGGAAAAGGGGGATGTCCACCTGGGGTTGGGGATGCCAAATGAAATGCTGATGTGGAGCAGGGATGACAGATCCCGTCACCTCTCCATCACAATAACTGCAGAGCAGAGGCTGTGCTGGGTCCTGCCCAAATCCAGCAGGATAAATCCTGCTTTCCAAGCAGAAAAAAAGCCTTTTCCCGACTCGGGCAGCGCTGAGGACGTGTCAGTGATGGTAACCCCGGGTCAGGACTGAGCCGGGGCAGCTTTGCTGCCGTGGGGTGATGGAAACGAGCTCCAGCATCACCGCAGGAGCCGCTGCCAACCCCCTGGTACTGCCGGTGCTCGCTGGTGACCTGCACCAGACTAAACTTGCCCTCGTCACCTCCTCAGGCAGCACAGTGACACGTTCCCACAGTTGCTGCTGCTCTGGGGGTTGGTGCTGGGGCTGCTTTAGGGAGTTCTCTCTAATTACACAACGCATCGGTGCCAAATCCGTGCGGCCGACTCCAACCCGGCGAGCAAAGCCCATGGATTTACGGCACGCAAACTCCCACCTCCTTACTGGTGGCAGGAGCAGGGTTCTATCATTCCGGAGGTCTCCATCCCATCCTTTTGCTCCTATGGATGTATAATCCTCAAGGAAGCGATGGCAGAGAGAGGGAGATGGTGTTTGTGGGCCGAGGACCACGTCAGCACCTCGGAGCTGAGTACATCAGGCAGCTGGTAAAGATTATAACCCTTAACTAGGTAAAGCCCTTGGAAACGGCTTCCCAGCGCCTCCCGGGGAAGATGCTGTGCTTGGATTTAGCCTAATTCATCTCAACTCCAGCCAAGCAAGGCTGGGAGGTGGATGGGCTCCCAAAGGGTTATTTAATGTGGCTTGATTATTTGTTATTTCAAGTTCCCCCCCCTCCCCACCCCATCCCCTTGTAACTGAATTTAATCCTGGTGAGAGGTGTTGGATTGACAGCGCTGGAAATATTAAGCCCTGAAGGAAAAGCTGTTGTGGGGGCATGGAAGGAACAAGGCTGTATGGGATCGAGTCTAAGGGGAATGATTTGCACTAACGGTTGCTTTTTTGGTCTCAATTATAAGATAGAGAGCAAAGGGATTCAGCAAAGCAGCTGGGATGCTGCCAGGTGGCCACTGGGAATGGTTGGAGCTGGCTGAGTGATGCTCTGATCCTGAGCCGCCCTCAGGACCCCATTTCAGTGCATAGCTGCTATTGATGCTTAAAGACTGCACATCTTCCTCAGCCCTTAAATATGTTCTCCATTCACTTCAACACCTCCCTGCTCGATGCAGCCTGTAAGCAAAGTACTTCCCACACATGCTGGGAGTTGCTGACTCAAAAGCCTTTGGGGTATATAGAGCTGAGAAGCTATCCTAAATATATCCCTCCCCATGGCATAGAATGAGCTCTTTTTGCTTGCTAATACACAGCTTTGGCCTCTGCAACTCTCTATCATCCCAAATTATGGTCACTACAGGGACCACATCCTCATGACAGAGAGAATTCAAGCTCTTTGTGGCATGTGTTGTCCAGAAGCAGCCCCATATGCTGTAGAAACGCAGGGGAAGGACAGGGAACAGAGGCAGGGATGCAGGGGAAGGTGCAGTGAGGTGGTAAGGAATGAGTGGACTGAGTCTACTTAAGCCTGGTCCATGTGAGCATCTTAAAGAAATCCCAGGGAATCTGGGGGAAAAAAAAAACAATATCCCACACTAGAATTAAGTGAAATTAGGGAGCATAAGGCCACGTCTTCATCCATCTTCAGATTCCTCCAGGATTCAGGGTGAGATGAGATCTGGGGTTTACAGGTCTTACTTGGGGTCATGCAGGATCACTGCAGAAAAGTATGGCCTTGATCATGGTATTCCCAAGTTGCCCATTAACCCCTGGCTTCAGCACTCACTTTGGAGGTGAGGATATATTAGGCAGGAAAACAAACACGGACACTGAAAGACAGGGAAAACCTGCGCTGTGCTTTGCAATCCCAAAGGAGCGAGCGGAGAGCAAAGGAAACAAGGAGAAAGAAGAAAAACAAAGGGGAAGCCCAAGAGGGAGATGCTAATGCAAAGCAGCTGTTATCCCACCTGAATCCAGGGATTTTTGGCTTCTCTGCATCCCTGGAGCAGTGCAGAGCAGCCGGAGCCTCTCCATGAGCTGATGCCTGCAGAGGGGCAAGGAACAAAGCTGCCAAAGGTGATGGGGAGGAAGGGAAATCACTTTCATGCTGTTAGCAGTGGGCTTGTTTTGCTGTTTGAAATGAGAAGGAATCTTCGGCTCAATCCCTTTTAAGCCTATTCTCCCCCTGCTTTTGAGGAAGAGAAAGGGAAGCAAAAAGAGACAACATGGATCTGCCTTCCAGCCCTTCGGATTGTCCCCTCCAGAGCAAGGACCTCATGTCTTGAAGAACTTGTGAAGCACTTAAAGTATTTAAGCTGTTCTTTATTTAAAACAAAGTCCATCTCCAGTATATATGATCCTTCCTTTTCCCCTTTCCCTTTTTCCTTTCCCTTTTTCCTTTCCACTTTCCCTTTCCCTTTTCACTTTCCCCTTTCTCTTTTCCCCTTTCCCTCTTCCTTTCCCTTTCCCCTTCCCCTTTGCTCCCATCCCCATGTAGATGCAATTAGACAAGCCCCAATGACCTATAGGAATCCAACAGAAGGTGGTTTCCCAGTCACTACCAACGCTTCCCATTTGGACCTGACCAAGAAAAGCACTCAGCACTTCATGTGCATGTGTGGAGGAGTCAATGGGCTTGCTTCCTTTCAGTGAAGAACAACCAACCCATCACAAAGGCACATCCCTGCCCCTCGCTTTGCTTTGGGTACCACACTGTGCCTCCTCTTCCATCTCGCTTTCGCATTCTTCCTGCTGCTGCAGAGCCACAAAGCACCAGGACTCCTGTTTCTGATTCCTCCTGGGTCATCCTCTTCCTCCTCCCCCTCCATGGGGTGGGGATGCAGCCCCAGCAAGGGTTAACTTCCAGCTGCCTCTTCCCATTTGTCCTTTTAATATTGCCTGTGAAAAAAAGCAAACAGAGGCGAATCCCACCCTCTCCCTGGAGACTTTTCCTTGGCTTGCTCCAGAGAACACGGAAGAATCATGGTTTGTCCTGTATTTTCTGCTTCAGCAGCCTCGGGGATGGAGTAACGAGACCCAAAGTGAACATGGAAAGCAATAAACCCACACACTGAATAACTGATAAAAGTGGAGAGGGAAGGAGATGAAAAAGAAACCCCCGATAACATTCCCCTTGTGGCACTGAATAAACCAAGCCCCACTTTGGGACAGAGGGATGCTGGGTGGGAATTTAGCACAGACATGTAGGAAAAGGCCCCGGATCCTCCTTATTGTGGGTACAGAGTCCAAATACTTGTGGATAAACCCTTTATGGAGCAGCAGTGAGATATTTCACCTTAATATGAGCAAGTGTTTGTATCTATCTATCTATCTATCTATCTATCTATCTATCCATCCCCTTATCTATCATCTATCATCTATCTTATCTATCCAACTATCTACTTAACTACTTATCTATCCATCCATTTTATCTATCTATCCATTTTATCTATCTATCTATCTATCTATCTATCTATCTATCTATCTATCTATCATCTCTATCATCTCTATCTATCTATCTATAATCTCTATCATCTATCTATCTATCTATCTATCTATCTATCTATCTATAATCTCTATCATCTCTCTCTCTCTCTCTCTCTATCTATCTATCTATCATCTCTATCATCTATCATCTCTATCGTCTATCTATCATCTCTATCTATCATCTATCTATCTATCTACCTCTCTATCCATCTTCTATTCTTGTGGCTGTAGGGTTTTGTGCCAAACAACCTCTGAAGCTAGAAGCAATCTCGAGTTCCCACTCAAAGCCAGGTTCAAGCCTACGTTATATATGCAAAGAGCCAATATTGTGCTTCTATGGGTAGAAATACTTAGGGTTTGGCTAAAATACTGTGGAGAACGATGCAAAGAAAGCAGCAAAATGAGGAAATGGCATTGCCATGGGTGTGGGGCTCCTCCTTTCTCCACTCGCTGCCAGGTTTTATGTGCTAAAGCACCACAGGCAGTAGCTCATTGCCCACATCTGCTTACCCCCACCATGGTTTGGGCTACCCGAGTTCACATCTGGATGCAGCCAGTGTTTCCAAGGCCTTTTCACATCTCACTGAAGAGAGAGCCCGTGTTTTCCTTTCCTGGAGAAGAGGATTTGTGTGGTTTTGCCCCTAATCTCCCATCTCCAAGCTCCTGGAGCCGATAATGAAAAGCTTCCCTCTGTGTTGGGACTGTGGCTTTCCTAGATTAAGAACTGCTCCTCAAGGAAGCCCACAGCCATAACAAACCCATTTGCTACGATAACATTTGTTTAGGATGGTGGCTGCTTTCCTGCACATGCTGCAGCTTGGCTCCTTATGGAGACGAAGTATTCCTGACTAACAAACCCTCTGGAGCGTGCCCTGCAATGGTGACATCCATCCCAGCACGGATGATTTGGGCAACCTGATCCAGTTGAAGATGTTCCTGCTCATTGCAGGTTGGACTGGAGGACCTTGAAGGTCCCTTCCAAGCCAAACTGTTCTATGATTCCATGATTTGAGTGGCATGCTGGGCTCAAGTGGAGCCAAACAAGAGGTACCAGGCTAGGTGAGGGGGTTTAGGGGATGCTCCAGGCTGCACCACTGCCTCCTGCATCCCATCACCACCCAAAAAAAGGACCAGTTGCAGCAGCACCAGCAGCCACATCCCCTTTCCCTTCTCACCATGGATGAAAACCTTTTCCCTTACCCTCTTGGCACATCCCTGCCTGCTAAACATTAACATCTGCTGGGTCTAACCCAGTTAGCCGGGAGTGTTTGTATAGGCTTTGCAATCCCTGCTTCCATGTATACTCACATCGGGATTGTTTAAAGCTGATCCAGCAGGAAAATGTCTGTGGGTGGGTTTGGGAGGACGCAGGGCAATGTGACTTCTGACCCCAGGCTTGGCATCACCTTGCTTCCGGGACACCAAACCCAACCCATGGATCGGGGCGTGAATAAAACAGGGAGAGGAAAAGGAACGGGGCAGGAGGATGACACATGGATGTTGCTGGGAAGGAGGCAGAGATGCAGCATTCCCAGTTGGTGTCACCCCCATTGGTGACAAGACCCCTCCTGTCTCAGGGTTGGGAGAGGAGGTGATGCTCGAGGGCTCAGACTGGTTTGGGTTGAAGGGACCTTAAAGCTCATCCATGGGAAGGGACACCTTCCACTACAGCAGGTTGCTCCAAGCCCCATCCAGCTCTCTCATCCTCATGGATGCCCCTATTCCCCTGTAAAGGTGAAAGTGAGGGTGTGGGATTGAAGCAGGAGGGAAAGAAATAGTGATGGAGACCCTCTAGACATACAACCACAAACTGGGATGCTCCTGAGCTTTCAGCCACTACTTAAGAGACTCCAAACCCTAAATGTTCACATCACATCCCAGCACATCCTATAAAAGCCAATGGAGGAAGCAAGCAGGGCTCTGACTGCAGCTGATGGCAAGGGGATGGTTTCCCAGCAGGAAGCTTTTGGGAGCAGAGGGATGGTGGGAAGAGCCCCGGGCAGCTTGATGGGTTGGCCTCAGACTTGCATTGCTGCAGGGGGAAGGGATGGTCCCTAGGGAGGAGGGAAACAAGAGCCTCAAAGGAGGGAGAAATTCCTTCTTATTCCCTGCTTTCTCCAGAGATCCCAAGATCCCAAGCAGCCTGAGAAGGGGGCTGCTCAGCCGATGGGATGCGAGCCCTTTTGGGAAGCTTGCTGCTTCTGCTGCTGGGAATCCATCATGGGAATGTGCTCTCCAGAGGCTGCAAACCCAGGAGGGTTGTGCCTTGCCCTGAACCTTGGATGGGAGCCCAGCTCTGTTCCTGCTCCATTTAAGCCGTGCCACTAAGCCCTCGTCCCAGCCTGTCTCTAGACCTTGCCCTGCCCTACAAGGCCATCGAGTCGGATAGATTGAACCCCCCCAACCACCCCCAAAAGCCACTTTCTATCCCCAAACCATGTCCTTAGCCCCTTACTTCTTCAAAGCCCTCCTGCATCCAAGCCAACGTCGTATCTGCTCTCAACAAAGGCTTTCCCAGTGTCCTTTCCCGGCACTGCTGGCTTCCTCCAGCCTTTTCTGGATGTCCCCTTGCCTGGGGACATCTTGTGCTCCTCGGCACAATCCCAGCCCTCCTGCTCCATTGCACAACCTGGGTCGAACGCCAAGAGCTGGGAATTGGATGGGATTTCTCACTGGGATGCTCCCAACGATCCTTGTGGGCAACTGACTGACCTCCTTTGCGGGTCCCTGTGCTATGTGTCTAAACCAGGGCATTGGCCTCAAGCTGTGGCTGCTCAGATTTCCCCACACGGCCACGTTTTGACTGGGAAGGGGGAAAATAAGGGGCATTTTCCACCAATTCAAGGCAAAATTGGTGCAGACTGCAGGGATCCTGGGATTAAAGCTGGGATGGGGCACTGGATGGTGCAAACTCGGGCAAGAACAGCAGGAAAGCTCATGGAAAAGGGGGAATCAAAGACCTGCACTGGGGTTTCACACTGTAGAGTTCAGTTTTCCCCATCTCTTATCTAAACCCAAAGACAGCACCTCATCGGGACACGATCCAGGCATCAAAGCATCCTTATATCCAGCATCCAGCACAGGATCAGGGGAATTAACAATTGAGATGAGGGTTTTCCAAGCTCTGGGATGTTCTGGGATGAGATGCAACCCCCTGAGCTCCGGCCAGCTCATTCCTTTGGTTTTCCTGTGAAAAATCCCAGTTGAGGACCTGCTTGGCAGAGCTTTGCCTCCTCCCAGCTCCCCGTGAAGGAGGGAAACGGGTTGGGTTGAGCAGTTGGTGGGTCCCAATAGGCAGGGCTTGGAAATTAAAGGGGTGATTCTGGGTTGTGCTTTAAGCATCTCTGCGTGGAGAGGAACGTGGGGTGTCCCTGGAGTGGTGCCTCCCCTGAGCATCGGTTTCATTCTGGAGGACTTAATGCCCTGTGTTTATGAGAGCAGGAAAATATTTACTTGGGGATGAAGGAGCAGGGAGAGGGGCTGGGGTTTTATAGGCCCTGGTTTGGAAAGAGGCTTCTATAGAAATAACAGGGGATTAAAGATCAAACCCAAAAAGCAGCATCACCAACAAGCCGGCGCTGAGCAGGACAAAGTCTGCACGACCCCAAGGACGGTGCTGGATGATGGAGAGCTCAATAGGAGCCAGCCCTTCCCTGTGTTTCATGGCTTTATGTTGCTCTAGTTGAGCTCTCCTCAGCGTTCGACCCTTTACAAAGCCCTACCCCAGGCTTTCACCTCCTGCTTCCATGGTGAGGGAAGGGGGTGATGCTGATGCTGGTGGCTCTTCAGGGAGATGGGCTCAGATGAAGCCCAACAGGAGCTGCTGGCAGACAGCAGGAGGAATTCCAGCGTGGAACAGCAGCAGCCTGGATCCCGGCCGTCTGGGCTCTTGCAGGGGTAGAAATATGAAGTGCTAATTCCCTTTTCCCTAGGGATGTGGGCCAGCGTGAGCCGGGGTTATCGGGCACCCTACAGAAAGGCCACGCACGGAGGGGGATGGACCGGCGCTATTCAGCCCCACAGCGCAGCCAGTTCAGCTCTTTTGCTTTCTTGTTAAAGGACATTTTGTTTCCAGTGAGAAAAGGGCCCAAGCCAGTGACATCCATGAGAAAGGCACGTCTGTGCCCTGCCACCATAAGACCCTTTTTGTGCCCCTGATCACCAGGCGGCAGTGACACTGCCTTGGTGCTACGATGCGCCGACGTACACAGGGTGTGCATTGTGAGAGGCATTCCCAAGGGCAGCTCAGGGCCTGGCCATGATGTGGAGTGTCAGCACGACCCTCTCCTTTGGCATGAGCTCCTTGGGAAATCAATGGGGCATTGTCTGCTAAGGGCACAGCATAGAGCAGAGGACAGCTTGGAGTGGTGGCAGAGAGGTCAAGACAGCCTAGAAACAACCATATCCTGGCTGTGTCACCAGCAGCGTGAGCACAGGTCGAGGGAGGGGATGCTCCCCCTTTACTCTCATGAGTTTCCATCCCTTGACTTGCAACACCAAAAGGTGCAGCCACTGTCACTGATTACCCCAAAATCTGCTGGCACAAGGCTTCTAAATAACTCCTAAAGCACCCCTCTCACTGCTGGAGCCCATGCAAGGACCTCGCTCTTGCTCCTCTCCTTATGGAAGCCATGGTGAAGTCAATGGAGGTTTCAACAGGGCTGGAAGGGTTCTGCAATAGAAACGCCCCCAGACCCTGCAGACACCAGGACATGGACCTGACCCAGTGTGCTTGCTGCAGATGAAGAGTGGGTTTGTTCAGCAAAGCCCTACGTGGCTGCAGGAGGGATCACACCAGGCCACAACTATGGGGATCTGGTGATGGGCAGGGATGATGGCACCACCAAGGAGTGGTGACTGATGCTTTGCTTGGCCTTGATGAAAGCCTGGCTTGCTGAGATCCCACTGCTGAGCTCACGGGGCACCTGATTAGAGGAAGGGCTCTGTAGATAACCACAGGAAGAAGGAGGCAATGTCAGGACCGAGCAGCTCTGTTCCCAAATTCCTGCTTCATGCACATGGCATGATTTTCCCTGCTTGAATTCCTCACATCGATACAGACCACATCTGACTTCTATCCCCAGCACGTCTGGATGACTGCTGAGAGAAAGCTAAAGCTGGGAGGATGGAGATAAGGTTTCTGATGCTGGGAATCACTTTAACCCCTTGGTCCTGGGGGCTACCTGCAGCACATCAGAAACCCTCTATGAAAGCTCCCAGGAAAGCCCTGCTTCCCTGCCTATCTCACAACACACCGATGCTCTGCAGACAACATCTCCCTCCGTGCCCAGCACAGATGATGTTTTCTGTGTCTCAGCCCCACCATAAACAATGAGTCAGCTAATCCAAACCACATGGCTGGAGGTCAACCCAGGGCATGGGCCTGATCTTGAAAAGCACAATCACATCCCCAGCAAAACCAGTACGAACCAGTGGAGAAGCACCCTCCTGCTCCTGTGGGAGCAGAGCTGAGGCCCCCAGGTGTCACCCAGTGTCAGGGCTGGTGGCATCAACCTGGAGATGCTCCTCAGGCTTCCTCCATCCCCTGGACCACATTGCTTGGCAGCTGCTTCTGCCTATGCAGTCATTGCATCAACTTCTCCATTGCTTGCTGCTCCATCCCTCTTCCTTTAGGGGCTATTTCCATCCCCATTTGGGGCTCCTTTTTCTTTTGTTTCCCTGTTCCTCACCTTTCTCCCGTCCAAAAGCCTGGCTTGGACATGCCTGCATGGAGAAAAATCCAAGCCCCAGCCAGCTGCCAGCTCTGCCTTTGGCCTATTGCTCTGGTTTCATGTTTGACTCTTAATTCCACAGCTTATACAGCAGAGAGCTCCGGGCCAAAGAGAATGTCTCAGGAACCTGCCAGAAACCTCAGCTTTTCCTAAGCTCCATAAACAGCTTCCTGCCTCCATCCCTGCACCTGCTGCCTGTGCCATGCTGCAGGATGGGGATGCTGGTCCATTCCAGGGTGGGGGGGGGGAGGATGGATGTCCCTGGGGTGTTCCACACTGCCCTGCAAACACTGCACTGCTCTCTGTGCCAATGGGAAACAAGCTAATGACATTGCTCCCTCGGGATCAGGCTGTTTTTCCTGGCAGGTTGGCCACCAGCCCTGTCCAAAAACGTGCATTCCTGCTCTAAGCTGTTTGCACAACTTCTTTATCCTGGGGTGTTTCACAGGCTGGAGCATCCTTAGAGGGCTTGGTGCCCACACGGCCGGTGCCTGATCCCTGTGCCTGGAATCTGGGTCTGAAGGAGGAGGATCTGTTGTTGATGGGCTCTTCCTGCAGCATCTGAGTGTTGTGACAAGCTCACTTGAGGCTGGAACAGTGGAGAAATTCAGTGTCACTGTCAGCTCCTCCGTGACCATGGGGCAATCCAGGAGGCAGGCAAGGAGGGAACGGGGACAGGGATGAAGGTGTCCAAGGCAAATGGATCCCCGGGAAAGCACCAGCCATGGGAAGAGAAGAAAGGAAAACACTCAACTCCTTGCTTACCTGAACCATTGCATTCCATACTCTTCCATTTCCACATGAGTAAAACCAAAGCAACCACTGCAGTGACTTAGGGATGGAAGTGGAACACCCTAATGGAAGTGGAACATCTAAAAGAAGAGAACGTGCTATGATTAGGAGCTTTATCTTCCCGTTGAGATACTCTTTGGACACTGAACTGAAATGTCTTTTTTCATGTCCTTTTCCCTCTCTGGATGCTTTCTGAACAAATAAAACCTCAGATGCCAACAAGCAGCAGGATCAGTGCCTGAGGTACTTATTCCTGCCTGCTGTGTTTGAGATGAGGTCAGTGTGATGCTGCCTCAGTTTGCTCTATCTGCAGTGGCACTTTCGGAGCAACAAATGCCTTTTAATCCTCCTCCTGAGCAGCTTTTGCTGGGGATGGCCCACTTCATCCTGGTGAGGATGCTGTGAATTACCAAGCACCATCTACTTGCACCTTACGTATTAACTCACCCTTTACCTGGAGGTGACATGGGACATCCTCATTGCTTTGCTGAACTGCCAAACAACCTCTTCTCCATGTGGTCTTGCTCATCCCTGCTGATCCATGAGGCTTTCTGTGGGTGTTCCGCATGGACAGGACCTGAAACAACACATAAAAGGTGGGATGAGAACAGCAGCAGGTGATGGGCAAACTGTTGCTCTGCACAAGAGCAAGGCAAAATCTCCCCTTGAGGGCAGGACTTCACCCATAAACTAATCATAATGGGGAATGCAGAGCTTCAGTTCATTACATCGGTGGCGTCCTTCCCGAGTGGGAGATGAAAACCAGGGACATCAATCAGTTTCCTCCTGTATAAAGCACCTGAATACCTGAGCTCGCCCTGGGGCCTAAACCAATGAGTCCAGACTCCACTTTGCTGCTTGGTTAATTCCTGCTGGCAGCTGGCTCCATCCATCTCCAGCACAGGCACGTAACTCAAGCCTGGGACCCGTGTTGATTTACAGCTTCAGCAAGGGAATCAGCACAAAATCATGGCAGTGCAAACTGATGTTTTCCTTCTCATGTGCAAGGTGAAAGGTCCTGGGACTGAGAGCAACAGCCCTGGGCTCGCATGGGGAGACAAACCACAGGCTGTTCTCACCCATGTCTTCCAATACCTAAAGGGGCTCCAAGAAACCTTTAGAGGGGCTTTGGACAAGGGATGCAGGGATAGGACAAGGGGAATGGCTTTAACCTGCCAGAGGGGAGACTGAGATGAGCTCTTAGGCAGAAGCTCTTCCCTGTGAGGGTGCTGAGGCGCTGGCACAGGGTGCCCAGAGAAGCTGTGGCTGCCCCATCCCTGGCAGTGTTCAAGGCCAGGTTGGACACAGGGGCTTGGAGCAAGCTGCTCTAGTGGAAGGGGTCCTTGTCCCTGTGCGTGGTCCCTCAAAACCCAGTGTAAATCCATGTGAGATCCAACTTAACTGCAGAGGAAGCAGAGGGTAATGATGCCCTTTAGGTGTACTGACCAAGTGTGTAATGTTATATGGGATGACTCTGGAGCAGCGTAAAGGAGTCTGTGTTTCCCAGCATGTCCATCTCTCCTGTGTGCTGTTCTGCTGCCACTACAGGAATGTGGAGTTTTCAGGACTTCAAAGCCCCTTTTCCAGTCTGGGCTGTGTGATCCAAGCCAAAGTGCAGCCTTAATCCATCATCCACAAAGAGGGATGTTTGTATATTTGTGTAAAATGACAGATTGGAGAGACCCGGAGCTGGAAACCAGATGCTTTCCCAAGAAATGAAAAGAGCTCGGGATTTAGACATGCAGGAACACAGGGAAGAACACATCACTGTGGCTACTGCCTTGAAAAACACTGATCCTTGGCTTTCCAGAGCCTGTTGGATGGGGAAAGGCAGCATCTCCATGAGCATCCCAGATGAAACAAGGAAGATGAGATGACATGACCGAGGTCCCACAGTAAGTCAGTGCTGGAGTGGAAAGCAGCAGCCAGTTGTCCCTCTGGATGAGAAGAGGTTCTTAGTCTTCAGTTCCCAATTGTTTCACCATAAATAAGTCCACCCTGGGGCCTGTCAACATCCATCATCACTTAGAGCTCATTCTCTTTCCCAAACAAATATCCATCAGGAAGGGTGGATATCACATGGAACAGTTGGTCTCTGGGAAGTCTCTTCATCGCATCGTCCCACTGGTCCCTCTCCAAGTTGAATAGCAAAGGACAGTAGAGGGCTGAAACCCTTCACAAAGTGCTACCAAGCTATGAAAGCACGTGGTGATTTCCTTCCTGGCCTGGATTTCTTTCTTTCCTTGCTTTTTTTCCTCTGTAACTGTTTGGATTTGGTCAGAAGCAGGAAAAGCTGCTCTTTGTTAGAGCTGAAAATCCCCCCATGAGAGCCAGAGCTGTGAGATCTGATGTCAGGCTTGGGCTGTGCAGATGGAAAGGAAACTTCCTGCACGATCCCAAGAAGAGGGGCAGCTCCCGCTGTCCTCCAGCATCTCCTGATGATCCTAAAGGTCTTTCCTAACCGAGCCTGTTCTATGGTTCCATGATCTCATGGGCACAAGCTTCATGTGGGGCTATGGGATGCTCTTCGCACCCTCTGTTAAAAGCCATCCAAGGTGGACTGAAATCCCTCTGTGCCCTTCTGCAGGGCTTTACCAGCCCTCAAACAGCCCCTGGGAGAAGCAGCAACTCCCCATCACAGCCCCATCCACATGGAGCATGTGAGGAAAAAGCATTCCCATCCCTGACTGAGCAAAGGATGCTGCTCCATCCATCCCTGGGGACACATTCCCGGTGGGATGGTGGCTGAGAGCCAGGCGGGGTGTTAACAGTTTGATGTTAAGGCTGCTACAAACGTGCAGGGGAAGCTGGAAAGCAGCTGAGTCTGTGAAAAGGAAGAACAGGCCCCAGGTGCTATCCAGGAGCAGGGGAAATTGCTTTTCTTCAGTGTTTTGGAAGTGCTGGGAAGCTTCTCAACCACCACCATAGGGATCAACTGTCGGCTCCTGGGTCCTGCTGGTCCATGGGAAAACCACTGGGATTCCTTGTGCTGCCTTGTGCATGTAAGAGGGTATTTGTGCACTGATGTGCCCGGAGGTGAAGCATTCCCAAAGGCCCATGCAGAGAATCCTGTTTCGTGATGAGCCACGTGTCCGATGGGGGTGACCACTGGTATGCGTGGCAATGCCAGCAGTGAATGAAGCTCCTCCCTGGGGAAAGGGCTCCATCGGTGTTGCTTGCAAGATCTGCCACATATTCATGCTTTTTTCCCCCCAAAATATCTCCTTGGAAAACGCCTCCTGTGTTTGGATTCCAAGCAAAGGAAGCCCACGCTTTGGATTGTGCAAGGAATCACTTTTAGCTTTGAAAGCTGCCTGAGTTTAGCCAAACGTGGGGAACTGACTTGGAATTGGATCCGTGGCCATTGGAAGGGCTTAAGAGAGCTTTGAGGAGTCTGCTGACAAGGGAGGATTGGCCTGTTGTCACCTTTCAGATGCTATGAGTGGAGCTGGCTGCTGCAAGACAAGCAGGAGGGAGGACACACGAGCCCTTGCAGTGATAGGTGCTGTGGAAGCATGGATCCGGAAGACCATCCCTGCATTAAACTGCTCATCCGCAAGGATCTGGGCTGCTCCTGCCTTCTCCTGGGCTTGCAGACTGCTGGAAATGAAGGTTGGAAGGAAGGGATGGGGAGGAAAAAGAGCAGAAAAGAGATAAAAGGACAGAGAGAATGGGTTTTACCATTGAACTTCTTTCTTCAAGTGGGAGCTGCTTTAATAACATGCACAAGGAGTGAATAATACCTTCAAATATTCCCAGAGAATGAATAATATGGAATAATATTCACCGAGCATTTATTTGACTAATTTCCCTTAGTGTTTTTGGATCAGGATCTAACAGTCCTGGATCTTAAAGGGGAGATCTGCATTTGACTTCCTTGGGTCTGGATCAGGCCCCAAACACCTCAAAACCCCCATGTTCAAGGAAGCATCACCAAGGGGTCACCCAATATAGCTCCAGTAAATGCGTGGGTCACTTTTCCCTGCTGATCCACAAATACATTATGTGCCAGTAAATGGAAGCAGAAGTGGCTTGGCCAGATGTTCCATAGGGGCCCCAGGGAGTTGTGGTGCAGCAAGGGTGAAATGGGGGGGGGGGGGGGGAAGGGGAAAAAGAAGCCCATAAAACCTAAAATATTAACATCCCAACCTCGTGTGCAGCAGCTGTGCCCCTGTTGTGGAGCGAGGTGCAATGCCCTGGCCGAGGGGGACGTGCCAAAAGCAGGATATGGGAAAAGCCTGTTTCAAACCCAGGTGGGTTAAACCTTTATTCCTGTCTGAATTACATCTGAATGCTCTGGAGGTGTTGGTGGGACACACGCTGGGATGGAATGAGGTTGGGGTGAGGGTCCCCAGGGTGTCCTGCTAACCATGCCCACAGGTGGCATCTCCTTATCATAGAATCCTAGCATGGTTTGGGTTGGAAGGGACCATGAAGCTCATCCAGCTCCAACCCCCTGCCACGGGCAGGGACACCTTCCACTAGAGCAGCTTGCTCCAAGCCTCATGCACCCTTTCCCATCCTCCTGTTATTTACAACCCACTTTTGCCACCTACAACACCTGGTCCTTGAGCCCTGTGTTACCTCTTACTCCTTCAGGTCAGCTCCATCCCGATTTCAGTGCTGGGATGGTCCCCAAAGCAGCTCCTTTTCCAGGCAGTTGGACATCTCCTGGTGTTTGTCCCATGGGTACTGCTCAGCTCCTGTCTCCCATGGGAGAAGCAGGCAGGTTGAATGTCTCTGTATCTTCTGCAAGGCTGGGCTTGCTCCTCTTCCTGATGCAGATCCCTCTCAGAGCTTCCCGAGTTGAAGAATCACTGTGAATTCACCACGAATTAAAGCCTTGAATTAAATCCCATGTGATGTGCGCCCTGAACACCCTCCATAGTGCTCTGCCACCCCAGACCCACCCGGTGACACCCTACAAATAACCCCCCATGTAGATGTGTCTGCACTGGGGTGCACAGACTGATGTGTGACCAGTATGGGTGTTGATGGGCAGCTGGACCAAGAAGAGGTGCCAGATAGGCTGCGTGGGTACAAGAAGTGGGAACAAGAAGGAAGCAAACCTCAACCTCTGCCTTGGAGGGTCTGAGTGCTCCTTAACCCATCAGAAAGTGGAGTTTTACAGATAAAGAAGGCCCCTTTGGTTTGTTGTTGCAGCTGGGAAGAGAAGGGAACGTTCCCATGGAGGAAACACCCTCTTTAACGGGGGTTTTAATCCTTTCCTCTCTTCTTGTGGTTGGGCTGAGCTGCACCAAGTCCCTGCAGCTCTCCCCAGCGCAGGCTTTTCTCCCTTTCCAGTAAACTGCAGTTACCATGGAGAGGGCTGAGACAAGCCAAATGCAAAACACTGGAAAACTACACCCGAAGCTCCGTGCAGCCCTATCAAACAGTTAATTAGAAAGAGGGTCCATGTGTTTCCCATTCCCTGGAATGGTTTGAATCAATGGCCCTGTGATTTATCACCTGCTCGCTGCGCGAACGGCGCAGCTCCGCTCTCGTGCATGTTCCTCTGCTGTACAGAGAAAAAAGGGGATATTGAGACCTTACAGAACAAGCCAGTCATCAAATAACCAATCCTCCCAGGGGAAATCTCCCACTGGAATGATACGCTTTGGATCTCGGTGGGATTTCTACCCTTTGGCAACAGGGGAAAAGGAGAGGGAGCTTTTGCCTTGCTTTGATTGCGGAGGGTGGAAGATCCTGCTGTGCCTGGCCGTTCCCAGGGCTGTGTCAGACTGTGCCCAGATGGAAATGCAGACCAGGGTGTTTCCCTGGGGCTGTTTCCTTCCCCACTGCACGTGAAGCTGGGCGGGTGGGAAGCGGGAAGGAGGTGGCTGGAGAGGAGAGAGGGAGCAGAGGAAGAAATCCATGCTTCCCACAAGATCGTGGAACGGTTTGGGATGAAGGGACCTTAAAGCTCATCCAGTTCCATGGGCAGGGACCCCTTCTACTGGAGCAGCTTGCTCCAAGCCCCTGTGTCCAACCTGGCCTTGAACACTGCCAGGGATGGGGCAGCCACAGCTTCTCTGGGCACCCTGTGCCAGCGCCTCAGCACCCTCACAGGGAAGAGCTTCTGCCTAAGAGCTCATCTCAGTCTCCCCTCGGGCAGGTTAAAGCCATTCCCCTTGTCCTATCCCTGCATCCCTTGTCCAAAGCCCCTCTCCAGGTTTCCTGTAGCTCCTTTAGGGACCGTTACAAGATCTCTTGATGCATAAATTGTCACCCATAAGAGGTAACACCTCATTGCACGCTGTGCTGGTGGCTGAGGTGCTTCAGTGACATGGCAAAGTGGAAAGCGGGTGGCCCAAGAGCAATGTGTTGATAGGGAAGCACCTGGAAAGCCATTCCCGAGGCCTGCTGTGTCCTTCCCTGCTCCCCCTGTGCAAGGCAGGGGAGGGCAAACACACCTTGGTCTTGTTCTGTAGGCAAATGCTTTGAAGCAGGGGTGATTCCTCCCACAGGGGCAGCCCTAGCATCCAGAAGAGATGTCCTGCAGGAGATCCCTTTGTGTTTCAGCTCTTCCCAAAGCCAGCTGACCTGGTTGTCTCTCTGCCATCTCCTTTTGCATCCTAAGCTGCCAAGGGATGCCTCTGCAGTGGATTCACGAGCCGGGATCACCCAAGATGAACATGGGAATACTGGAGTCATCCATTCCCCTGCCCTGCTGAACCCCTGGCTGGGATGTGTGGGGCTGCTTGGGAATCCTGCACGTTCATGTACCACATCCCCCAAAGCAGCTGCTGGGCTGGAAGGTGCTGCACCTCTCCTGATCCACATTCCACCTTTCCTGCCAAGACTGGGGGGAGAGAGGGAATAAAAGCTGCTTTTCCTTGCATTAGCAGATGATTGAAAAACCTTGCAGCAAGCCCAGCCAAGTGTGAGAGATACCAGCTCCTTTCAGAAGGGTTTCACTGCAGGGTTTGGGAGGGAAGATCCCACTTAAGAACACTGGGAATGAAGATGTTTTCCTCCCACAGCAGAGGATGCGACAGAGAAAATCCTTATTGGAGGGGAAACTGAGGCAGAGATAAGAAGTGGAGCTGGAATTGTCCTTTATCCACATCCTCTGCTCCCACATTGAACATAGAATGCACAGACTGGCTTAGCTTGGACCCTATTTACCTTGTCACTGCTCTGCTTGCAGCCAGCCTCAATTCTGCCCCAGTGCTGGCCATATAAATGCGGCAGCATCCCTGTGTGGTACATGGGGGTATCTGCTCCATGTCTTCAGATGGGGCAGAGGGCTGGAGGAGGTCCCTTCCTTCGATAGAAAAGGTCAGGTTTGTGCCTCAGTTTCCCCTCTCACTGCAAAGGAAACAGCTGGTGGCAGGGAGTGCACGGTGCTGCCTTGGGAAGGTGTGAATGGATGAAAACCCCACAGGGATGCTCTGTTCTGCCTGGGAAGCTGCTGTTTCTATTGCAGTCTGCAAGGAAGGAAACTGGCCTCAAGCAGCAGGGAAAAAGAGACATTTCCCAGGAATTCCCACAGGTTTCCCCACCCTGGGAATGAACAGAAACAGTGCAGGTGTCCCGTGAGGTCGCTGCATCCCTTGGTTAAGCAGGGATGCTCTGGGGACAATCCTGCTGCAGGTCAGGAGCGCTCCTTAAGCTGGGAAGCTTCTGCAGCGGATTTCATCTCAGCCTTGCAGCAGTGACCCTGTGAAGCCACAAGGAAACCACTGACGCCTCATTGTGGGGCTGTGGGATGCTGCCCCCCAAGCCTCAAGGTTGTCAGCAGGAGCCAGCTCTGCTCGCTGCTCCGGGCCCCTCTGATGGAAATGGACGTGGGGTTTGGGGCTGCTCGTGGGGAGCTTCCCAGCAAAGCCAAGGGAAGAACGGGCTGTTTCCTACAGGAAAAAGGGGAGAGGTTGTGCTGAAGGGCCCGAAAGCTCCCAGCAGGAGGGAAGAACACGGCAGAGAGGTTTGCAAGGCCAAAGGGAAAGAGGCTTGCAAAGAGGAAGGACCTCTGTGGAGTGCTCCGGGGAGAAGCGGCTTGGGAAGGAGGAGCGACGGATGTGTGAGTGATGGATCCAAGGTAATGCCAGCTGGGATCCAGCTCAAACGGGCAGCTTGTCACCAGTGTCACAACAGCCCCTCTGACAGATTCAACCCCATTCCTCCCATCGGTGATTTCCAAATCCCTATGGAAGTGTTGCAGCAGTTAGGGGACTCTTTCCCCAGCCTGAGGGGGATAAAGCTTTGCATCCCGTTGCATTAACTCCTTTTGGTCCCTCAGGACTCTGCCAGTGCCACACAAATCACAAGCAGAGCTGCCAAAACTGCTACACAGGCTTCCAACAGGGTGTTTGTCACTGCTGTAACCTGCAGGGGGAATGGATGTGGACGAGCTGAGGCAGAGTTTGCTTTGCAGGTGCACGTGTGCCTTATGCAAGGGGGAAAAAGCCAACCCACTGCGCTTGGAAACATGAAGAGCTAAACCTGCCTGATGTGCAGGTCTCAGTGTGACACAGGTGCGGGGTGTGGGGGGGGATGATGGCAGGGGTGTTGCTGGCCAAATTTACAAGGACGTGTAGTGATGGGGCAAGGGGGAATGGCTTTAAACTGATGGAGGCATTGAGATGAGATCTTAGGACAAAATTCTTCACTTTGATGAGTTTTAAGGTCTTTTCCAACCCAAACCGATCTGTGATTCTATTCTATGATGATATACCCATCATTACATATATATCATAATATATATATATATTATATATAATCATCCAGAATATAATGGTCTCTGATGGAAAGCTGGGTGGAACAAGTCCAGGACAGGGATGCAGGGCCAAGCACTCACAGTGGTTAGGTCCCAAAGATGCCGGTAGACATCTAGAGCCATTTACAGAGAGCTCTGGACCCCTACTTCAGCTGAGCGCTGTATTGCTCTGAACACAAACCCCTTTGCTATGGCTAAAGCCAGGAACACAAAACTACACCAGCAAGTTGGACAGGGTTTGGAGCAAGCTGCTCTAGTGGAAGGTGTCCCTGCCCACAGCAGGGGGTTGGAGCTGGATGAGCTTTAAGGTCCCTTCCAACACAAACCAATCTGGGATTCCATATAAATGGAATGGAAAGGACTGGAGCCTTGTGATCCCAGCCTTTAAAATAGCTTCAGTTGATGTAATGATGCAGGTAAACACAGGAGATGCTGCAACCCTGCTCTGGGTGAATGCAGGAGGCAGGTTTCGGTGCTGGGTTCTGCTGCCTTTCCATTTAGCAGGCAGACTGTGTGCTTTGGGCCTTTTAGGCTGTTTAATGGGGTATTATTCGTTTCTGGCTGGCTGTTGCTTTGAGCAATGGCTCCCAGGGGAGCTCCTGTCGGTTGCCAGACGGAATGACATCAGGCAGACGCTCAGAGCAGGGATCAAAAGGCAGAGCCTCATTTCTTCATCACAGGCTCTGGCAAAGCACACGGTGAGGCTGAACACACCAGGTCCTGATGCTGCTGGGGGTACAGGGGAGAGAGGAGGAGGAGGCTGCTCACCCCCAGCTTGTGCATCACCACCCCCCAGATCACCCAGGGATACTTTCAAAGCATCATATTCTACTTCAAAGCAAAGGAAAGGATGTGAAGTAGGAGCTGATGCCTTCCCAATCCTCGTTATCCCTTATCATTTCACTGTGCAAGTTTCCTCTACCCTGGTTTATAGGCTAGGTTTCCTGTTTCATCCATCAGAGCACTGTCCCTGACTTCTCCAGCTCCCGCAGTGACTGACCCCCAGAACGGTACCAGTTTAAGATCCGACATCCAAAGCTTTGTGCTTCATGGAATCCCAGCCTGGTTTGGGTTGGAAGGGACCTTAAAGCTCATCCATTCCCAACCCCCTGCCATGGGCAGGGACACCTTCCACTAGAGCAGCTTGCTCCAAGCCCCATCCTTGAACACTGCCAGGGATGGGGCAGCCACAGCTTCTCTGGGCACGCTGTGCCAGCACCTCAGCACCCTCACAGGGAAGTCTGCAATCAGTTCATGCCAGAGGATGAGTGTATATTGAAATACAACACACGAGACCTCGCTTACCTGTGCATTCTGAGTTGTTTCCTCCTCTGGAGCCACGCTCCCATGATGTGTCTTCAAAAGGAGCACGTCTCGGCGGTGTTTCCCAGCTCCCAAGTGCAGCATTTCAGAGCGTCTCACAGCTCTGTTTGCTGATCCCTGTTCCTCTCTTCCTTAGAGCAGCATCCAGAAGCATGAGGTTGATGAGAGACAGTCAGATCCTCCCTGTTGGATGGGCACAAGACCAGGAAAAGAAGCCATCAAAAGTTCACCGTTGCCTCAATACCCGCCTGTGGACACTGCAGAAATCCAACAGCTCCCAGTCAGAGCCCCTGCAAGACCTGAAACTCAGCTCCAAGCCATCTCGAGCTGCAGCTACATCTGGCTTTTAGTTTCTCCTCACTGCCTCCTCTTTTCAAGTTGCTCATAAATTCTTTGGATAGAATTCCTTCTGGGCTAAAGCTTCCTAGGTTCGGGCATTCCTCAGCTGTACATCAGAGAAGAAAAAAGGTAGAAAAGCAGAGAAAATAGGTCTGGCAAGTCGTATTTTGTCATGTATGTGCCCCCAGCCACCATTCCCCAAAGCTTTCTGCCCCTTGGTCAGTGTGCAAACTGGGAGAGCATGGTTGGAAAGCCATGGAGGGGCTTGGATCTCCTTCATCCCAGCCCTTTCCTCTGGCACTTTTTGCACAGGAACAAGCCAGATACGGCTCTATTCCCTGCTCTCCATCACCATGGGATGTAAAGCAGAGCCAGGCAGATAGGGATTTCGCAGGCTGGGTAAGGAGGGGCCAGAGTTTATCATGATTTTGGGGTAGCATCAGCTAGGACAAAACCTCATCCTGAGCTCCCATCATCACACATGGTCCCCAAACACCTTTGTTCCCCAGCTAACCCCCTGATTCTTGACAACATGCAAGAAGTAGCATGTGAAAATGCTAAACCCCTCTGTTCTCTATATATCGAAGGTGAATTTGTGCTCTCAGCACTGTAAGAGGTGGCTGAGATGCCTTCAGGTACACAGGAGTCTTGTGTGAGCATCATCCGACAGCCTGGGTACCCCAGATGGCTCTCCCTCCTCTCCATCTCCTTGCTGTAAGCAGGCTCCATGGGGGACTCCTGAAGAACAACCAGGAAATGAGGCTGTACAAGAACATTTTCCCTCTCCTCTCTTATTGTTTAACACACTGGATTATTCAGGAGCAGTAGGAACAAGCAATGCATCCATAGGAAAAGATGAAAGCAGGGATTGCCTGGGGTGGGAGCGCTCCCTTCGCCCAGGAGCTGAGAACTTGCCTGGGCAACAGAGAGCCTGTTGTCAGCCCAACACAGGAGATCATTTTCCATTCATGCTCCATGCCCATTGTCTGGCCCACAATGGGCATCCCCAGCCTCAGGGAAGGTGGTGGGACCACGTTGGGGTGAGTGTCCTGCCCTGTGCACACAAGGGATGCAGTGTGGTCCCTCCTGGCTCAATTCACACACGGAGCAGGGCTTGGAGGAGTCTTGTGTTTTCTCCTTTCATTCCTGATGGGGCTTTCCTCCAGGCTCAATTCCCACTTTTCCAGCCAAGTCTGCAGGACACGGACACCCTGGTTGAATAGATAACACACAAGCACAGACTCTGAGTAAGGAAATCCACCCAGACTTTGTCCTTACGCACCCATTGGGTCAAACTTCTCTCCTAGTGTTTTCAAGGGTGCCTATAGGATTTAAGATGAGGATCTCTCCAACTGAGGATAAGTTTGGGAAAGGCCTTGATGTCATTTAGGCTGTTTTGCATCACTTAAATGACTTGACCTTATCTGCAAATACAGATGCAGAGCAGGGAATGTTTTACCTCCTCAAGGATGCTCTGGGAGTAGGGATCCTATATCCACACGTAGAACCATCCTGCCAATTAAATTCATGCCCTTACTACAGCATTTCTCTTCCATGTCCCCTTCCAAGCCCTTCAATCACAGCCCATGAGCACGTGGAGATGGGCTGACCCTGTGGTCTTCATAAATCTGGACCTGAACAAACAAAAGAAGAAGTAATGAGGCGGGGGGGGGGAACCTCAACCAGATCCCATTCCCAACGCCTGGCATCACATCCCTTGCTGGCAAAATCCATCTGGCTCCAGATGGACACCAGGCAACTGATCCGGAGAGGTTCTGGAAGAGCTGGATTCCATGGAAGAAGCACTCTGGGATGGAGAAGGGCAGCACGAGGGTTGACACCAAAGGCTTCTTCCAGGAAGCTCCTCCAGTTCCCTGTTGGAAGGGAGCTGCTGGGAGAACTCAGGGAGAGCCCCCTAAAAGCAGCCCTTGCATCCCTTGCTCCACACTCCTAAAATCCATGATTCCTGGACGCAGCCTTGCCCAGAATCATTGCCCAAGAGCGAGGCTATGAATAGCTGGAGCAATAACGCCTAACACATGGCTGTCCAGCTGCCTTTCCCACATCAACCACCTCATCAAGCGATAAGGGGAGGAAACCGGGAACGGCTTTTCCAGCCGGAGCCACAACACGAGATGAAGGATGCAGGAAACGTTCCCCCAAGCTTCCATGGCCCTCCTGCCAAAACAAGCAAACAAACAAACATCTCCAAGTTCAGCCTGGCTTTGTGCAGGGCTATCGGGAGCCGGGGACGAGGCTGGTTTTACATCCCAGCTGGAAGATCGCTTTGCTGGCAGCCTGCAGGGATGGCGACGGGAATGCTGGTCCATGGCCAATGTGGGTGACAGGACACACACAACAATGGCCCCGGATGGAGCTGGAAGGTTTCGATAGCAGCTGAAATGGGGAATCAGCAACATTCCTTCCCCCCAGAGGCTGCCGTGGCAGGGATTAAAGGACTAAAGTTCAAGGGGAGCGCGAGCCAGCGTTGCTCAATGCTGGCAAAAGGTCCCCAGTCATGGAGAGTGCTTTGCATCCCAGAATGGTCTGGGTTGGAAGGGACCTTAAAGCTCATCCAGCTCCAACCCCTGCCACGAGCAGGGACACCTTCCACTAGAGCAGCTTGCTCCAAGCCCCATCCAACCCGGCCTTGAAGGCAACGAGGATTTGGGTTTCAGCTCCCAGGGAGATCACTGCCCATGCATCCACTGAGCCTTACAGAACCTCACAGCAGGACATTGAAGCCCACGGTGCCCTTCTCAGAACCTCCTGGTTTGTGCTGCTCCCTTCTCCCTGCTGCTGGAATCTGCGGAGCTGCTGCCTCTGCTTGGGATGTGGAGCAGCCCCAGCCCCAGGGCTGGATGGAGCCACGGATGCTGATGCCTGGGCACACTGTACGTGATCCAAGCTGCAATCCCAAACCACCTCCATCGCGCTTGTGACAGGCATGGTGGCCCAGAGCCAAAGCATGTCCAGCGGTTGCAGCAGGGCTCTCCACCCCATGGCAAAATAGAAGGAGGAATGAACATGCCCAGCATAGCAGGCATTAAGAAATTCCCTGCTCTTCCTGCACACAGGAGCCTCTCATGGCCAAGACCTCTCCCTTGAGCCTGTGGTTTCACCACAGGCAGATGAAATCGAGGAGATAGGCTCCGAAAGCTTTGATGTGCAACCACCACCAGCCTCCTCTCTGCTATTCCTCCTCCCTCGCGCCAAGCTGCTGTAATAGATGCTTCCCCTCTGCCCCCGTGACTTGAGGGTCCCTGCACAGATGAATTCATCACTCACATCACAGCCACAAGGCGGGAAGGCCAAGGAAAACACGCATCCATCCATCAGCAGAGGCTTGATGAAGCTCTCCCCCTCTTGGAGGGATTCACCCTGGGACTTCAATGCAAAGCGATGGCTTCAGTGAGGCGAGGCGGGATGGGAGCCGGAGCTCACCAAGCTGCATCAGCCCTGCAAATCCCACCGAGCACAGAGGGATGCTGCTGACAGGATGCACTGGGGAGGAGCACAACCCGACTCCGAGGTGGTCCCAGCCTTTGCCAGCCAAAATGGTGTACTGAAGAAGAAGGGGAAGATGTCGGTGCTGCACGTGCTGGTGGTGCTGGTAAGAAGGCAGCACGGATGGGATGGATGCCGTCAGCTCACAGCCGCTGACCTTTCTGAACTGTAGAACAAAAACAGTGTCCTTATGGTTTAAAATAGCCCCCCAAAAGGGAAATAAGGAAAGGGAAAGCGAGACAGATTCCCATGAAGGCAGCAAAGCCCAGAGCTTCCCTTCATCTTCCCATCTTGCCTTCCCGCAGAGGCACGGCTGGACCCTGGCTCATCTCCAGCCCCCAGCTGGGCGAGCAGCAAACATGTTCCAAGGCAACAAACCATCTGATCTGTGTGACACAGGGAGCTGAGGGGCACTGAGATGCTCCCATTCCCATCACAAAGGAGCAGGAATCCTGCTGGACCAAGCGGGATAAAAGATGCTCCATCACCGTCCGCACCGAGCGGATGAAGGGATGGGGTTTTTTGCTTAAGATGGGAGGATGAGTGAGGCTGGGGGGTTCACAGCCAGCCCAAAGGCAGATGGGGTGGGCATGGTACCAGGCATTAGCAGAGGGAGAGCAGGGCTGGGAACCATAACCCCATGCACACGTCTCATGGCTCCTGCCCGGCTGCTGGCATCAGGATACTTGTAATCCTGACTAATCCAACCTTTCCATAGGCTGTCAGCACAGGACATGCCTCAAGGAGGCCTCCTCCACCTCCCACCTCAGACCAGTCAAACCTGCAGGGTGCAAACCCCTCAGAGAGCTTGGTGCCTCTCCATAAGGGTGACTATGCTGTGTGCTACGTTGGTCTTTGCAGGGTTAATCCTATGGGAATGCAGCTTGAGAGCTCTGTCTCCATGGGATGCGATAGGAGCCCCGAGGAGGAGGGCTCAGCAGACACAGCCACGGCAGCACAGCCATGGAAGCAGTTGGCCAAAGTCAACAGTGATGTTGGGAGAGAAGGATCATGATGGATCTGAACATGCCCCATGTTTGCCTGGAGCTAAAGGATAAGGAATGTATGTGCTGACAGGGTGCTGGCAAAGAAGAATAAGGGAAACAAGAGGCTGCAGCAGGTCCTCTCCATGCCTTGGTCCCCCCTTGAGTGGATTTGGGTCTCTTTGGATGGGAGACGGCGCAAGAGGGAACCAAGATCAAGGCCTTAAGAAG